CCTGGGCTGGGACTGGTCCTGCCGGCGCAGGGTAGCAGGAAACTCTCCGCACACTCACCGGACCTGGGCTAGGACCTTGTTCCTAATTTTAAAGTGAATACTTTCAGTCTTTGTCCATTTAGTGTGATGCTGGCTGTTGGTTTTTCAAAAATGGCTTTTATCAGGTTGAGGTAAAGACCATCTATTTCAATTTTCTATAGGGTTTTTATCATGAGTGGGTGTTGGACTTTGTCAAAAGCTTTTTCTGCATCTATTGGGATAATCATGTGATGTTTGTCTTTGACTTTGTCAATGTGACATATAACATTTATTGATTTGTGTATATCGAACCATCCCTGGATTTTGGGATGAATCCTATTTGGTCATAGTGTATAATCTCCTTGATGGTTTGTTGTACTCTGTTAATATTTGATTAAGGATTTTTGAATCTATGTTCATTAGGGAGATTGTCCTGTAGTTCTCTTTTCTGGTTGGGTCCTTCTCTGTTTTTGGTATCAGGATAATACTTGCCTCCAGGAATGAGTTAGTGAGAATTGCTTCCTTTTCAAATTCATTGAAGAGTTGGTGTTAAATCTTCTCTAAATTTCTTGTAGAATTCAGCTGTGAATGCATCAGGACCTGGGCTTTTCTTTGTTAGTTTTTAATTACATTTTCAATTTCATTGACTAATATTGGGTTATTCAGAATTTCTATATCTTCTTGATCCAGCTTTGGTAATTCATATGTATCTAGGAGTCTTTCCATTTCTTCTGTGTTTTCCATTCTGTGAGAGTTAGCATTTTTGAAGTAGGTATTGATGATCTGAATTTCTGTAGGATCTGTAGTGATTTTACCCTTTTCATTTTTTTATGCCATGAATTTGAATTTCTTTTCTTTCCTTTTTTAATAAGGTTGGATAAGGTTGTATTGATTTTATTTACTTCTTCAAAGAACCAACACTTTGATTCATTAATTCTTTGTATTGTAATTTTAGTTTCCATTATATTAATTCCAGCTCTGATCTTTATAATTACCAGCCTTCTTTGGGCCTGCAGGCCTTTCTTACACAGTATGGCTGCATGTGACCAAGCTGTGGTTTACCACCTCTCTCCTTCTCTCTCCTGACCAGGTTAGCGCATTGAACACAATATTGCCATATTGAAATTTCATTTTGATTAGTTTTTTTTTACTGTATATTCTGATCCTCTAAAAGCTAGGTACAAACCATTCTGATCTTTGAAATTGTCAGGAATATTTTCAGTCCAATGCAGTACAGGGATGAGCTTTTGTTCTTTGGTTACAGAGTTTGGGACAGGCATATCTCATTACCAGGAGATATCTAATCTCTCTCTCTCCCTCTCTCTCTCCCTCTCTCTCTTTCTCATGTCTCTGTCTTTGTCCTTTCTCTCACACCTGTAGTATATATATATATTTTGGGAGTATTTTCCCTAGATATAATTTATGATAAAACATATCAAACATCTTAACAGTCAATTTTTCATACTATAATGATGAATCACTTCTAGAAATGCCTGTTAGAACATTCTCTAAATTTCTTATGAGTGTGTATTAATTTTGTTCTCAGGGAAAAAAAATAAAGCAAATAGCCCCTTTCCAGTTACTTTCATCTCCATCTTTACAGAGAGGAAGAAGAATGTGAGAGAATGTTGCAAATACGATGCTTGAGGAGACCCAAAGGGAGTTGCTAGCAAGGAGCCAGCATCCTGTTCCTTTCCATATTCAGTTCTTACTAAGCAGGGGTGCTGGAGACATTGGGAAAACAAGGATATCACTGTGTTTCCTGTCTAGGGTTCCTCAAGGGAGAAAGAAAGGAGGGGAGAAGTGGGAGCTGGTAGTTGGCTTTCCCACACTTCATGTTTGGTGGAGGAGGAGGAGGAGAAAGAAGAAGAGGAGAATGAGGAGGAGGAGGAAGAGGAGGAGGAGGAGGAAGAGGAAGAAGAAAGAGATTGCTTTTGATATTTGAAGGCAAGGAAATACATTCCAAATGAGCTTCATCCGTGTTTTTATTTTTCCTTATTTTAGAATACCATCCACATACTTCTATTTCTCCAACCTATGTGAATTTCAAATAGAATTTAAGTAGGGAGAGTGAGTCAGGGGAGAGTGACAGGCCCAGGACCTTCATGCAGGTCTGTGTTCATGCAGTGAGTGCCTGAGGCATTGCTGGCCTCAGAGAAGGGCAGAGGCCCTTCCTCCCAGGGGCATCCAGGACAGAGGTTCTCACCCCAAGCAGCTCTGAGCTCTGCAGCCCAAACCACTGGGCTCAATCTCAGGCATCGGGTCCTCAGGTGTGGAAGCTGTAGCTCATGTACAGCACTGACCAGCACCTTGACTGTCAAGGTGAAATGGGCATCACTCCCTTCCTCAAGCTGCCTGCAGTGATTGGGATGGGCGGGTCCCAGCTGCAGAGGAAGAGATCAGTTTGACCTTAGGAGGGGATGTTCTTGGAAAAAATCACAGAGGAAGAGATATTTCAGCTAACCTCAGAGAACAAGGATAAGCAGGAGTTTGCCAAATCTGCCTCAGGGCATGGTGGGGCACTTTCTACAACTAGGAAGCAGCTGGGGCAGAGGCACTGAAACGGAAATGCCAGGGGCTCTGCAGTCACCAGTGAGGGACAGGCAGGTAGCCATGACAAAATGCCACACTGCTGGCTTCCTCAACAGAAACAAGTCATCTCATTGTTCTGGAGGTCACAGATCCTAGATTAACATGCACAAAGTGCTGGTTCCCACTGAGGGCTATGTGGGAGATTATGGCACCCTTGGGTCTGGTGGTTTCTGGCATTCTTGACAGTCCCTGTTGTGGAGCCACAGCACCCCTTCTCTGGGTCTCATTTGTATAGCACTGTGCCTGCTAGGGTTGGTTCCCAGTGTCCCCTTTGTATGAGGGTAGCATCTGAGTCACACAGCTGAGGATCCACCCAACGCCAGTAGGAGTCAGCTACCTACATTTGCAGTGGCCCTGTTTCCACAGCAGACACTCCTGCAGTGCCTGGTCAGGACTCCAGCACAGGAGTGCTGGGCGATACAGTCCCACTCCAGACAGAGAGAGAGAGAGAGAGAGAGAGAGAGAGAGAGAGAGAGAGAGAGAGAAGGGAAAGAGGCTGGAGAGTGGGACCTGTCCTGGCCAGAGACCCTGCACATGAATTTGCAATTTGTCCTGGAACCCATGAGGACCACTGAGAACATTTAATATTGAGACTAACTGGAGAACTATTCACATGTGCTAAGGGTGCTTCTAGCTTATTTTAGGTGCATTGACTCTTTTTATCCTCATAATAAACATACTATTATTATCTGTTTTGCAGGTGAGAAATCTGGGACATGAGGTCAGTTCAGTGCTTTGCCCGGGGCACATGCCCTGTAGGGGGTGGGGTCACAATTTGAATGCAGGCAGGACCAACCTTCAAGGCCAGTGCCTCTGGCCCTCAGGAGCTCAGCGTTGCCTCTGTTCCCCTTCTGCGGTGCTGTGGCGACTCCTTCCCTGCATCGCCAGCCCTGCCTCCTCTCTGGAGCTACAGCCCTGCATCTGCAGCAATCTGTCCACGTTCCCATGAGGAGCCCTTTGGCATCTGGCCACCACCTCTGAGACTGGGCTCATGCTCCCCGCCGAAGTCTGGACTTAGTCATTTCCGCTTTAAACCATGACTACTCTTTTTTTTTTTTTTTTGGAGGAACCGGGGATTGAACTCAGGCGCTTGAGCTTGCCAGGCAAGTGCTTATTCTACTGAGCTATCTCCCTGCCCCCTCCCCTTTTTTAAGGAGAGAAAAACAATAAAAAATGGTACAAAATTTCAAAACAAGCTGGCAGGAAATTAACAATCGTTAATATACTGCATATTGTTATCTTTGAAGTATTTGCTCAGATTCCAAGACATAGGTATTCAAACTAGATCAAACAATACAATCACAAACTGTTCCCTTCAATGAACTAATAGAAATTAATAGTATCATTATCTTAGCTATCTTGTATATAAACATATTTTTCCCCCTTTCTCCCTTTTGCCTTTTCCCCATCCCAATTGTTCTTTCCTTTTGAGCAGTTTCTTTCCTATTCACAGTATCTGTTGTACATTTTGGATCAATTTGCTCTTTTAGTTTCTTACACTAGGGAGACAATATGATGTTTCCACATGTGAGTCTGATTTATTTCACTTATAAATATGGTCACTAGTTGCATCAATATACACATGAAGGCCTCTAATTGTCCTTCTCTATAGCTCAGTAGTACGCCACTGAATAAAAATACCATGCCTTTTTTCAATCCATTCCTTAGTCGATGGGCATTTAGGTTGTTTCCAATATTTATCTATTACAAATGGTGCTGCTATAAACATGGGTGCATATATATCACTATGGTATGGTGTTTTTAATTCTTCTGGGACGATACCCAGAAGAGGAATAGCTGGATGGAATGGAACAACCAAACCTGGTTTTTTGAGCAGTCTCCACACTGATTTCCATAGTGGTTGGACCAGTCTACACTCCCACCAATGGTGGAAGAGAGTCCCTTTTTCTCTCACAGTCCCTCCAGCATTTATTGATTAATTTTTTGGGGGGCAGAACTGGGGTTTGAACTCAGGTCCTTGTACTTGCCAGGGAAGCACTTATTCTACTGAGCCATCTCCCTGGCCCCTTATTGATTGATTTCTTGATGAGATCTATTCTTTCTGGGGTAAGATGGAGTCTCAGTTTTAGAAAACACAACTACTCTTGGTTCATTGTCTCTTGTCCTGTCTGGGATTAATCTTGGAGCCAAGGATCCCTGGTATTTTGCTACTTCTTCTTGGCCCCTCGCAGTAGGCGTATTGTCCTGAGGACACTGGAAGTCTGGCTACCATGGAAAGCATAGCCATCTAGGTTCCCAAAGCATACTTCAGCATTTTGGCGGGCCAAAGCCCGCTGGGGTCAGGAAGCTGTGGGCACTCCCTGGGGTAGAGTCTGACTTTGGGGACTCTTTGGCAGGCTGCTATAAGAGTTAGTAACTTACTGCTTTACAGATACAGTCTGAAGCCTGTGCTTCATAACCTAGTTCAATTGTGGTAAACCTACAGCACACATGCTTGCTATTTGTATCATTGGAAGCTCCAAAAGGTTCCCCATCACCAACCCAGATCATTGGGCCTGGAAGGAAAGCCCCTAGAATGACATGTGGGAAAAGTGCTGGTTTAGATGTTAAGAGGCCTGAGCTCTAATCCTGACCCAGCTTCCTGAACCTTCTGCCAGCCACTTTGCAGGCACAGAGAAGAAATAATCCTTCAGTATGTTTCTTCAGCTATCAAGTCAAAGTGGTAGACTATGATGCAAAAGCTCCTCAAAGCTCCCGAATCCTGTGAGTCTATGCTCTAGTTAGACTTCAGTGCCAGTTACATCTGAAATTGGCACTGTGGTCTTAGCCAGTATGTTTGTTAAAGTGGAGAAGTTAGTTGATTCTTTTCATGCCTTTTTACAACTACTTGACCCTAAAGCTGTTTTGTTCCTGTTGTTCTCTATTTACCCAGAGAACCATAATCCACAAATACTGCTAAATGTAAACAGTTTTGGTGAGAATGGCTGCTCAGAAACTCAACAAAATAGCTCTTCCAGGGCTATGTTTTCCTTTGCTCAGCCACTGTGGCATCAAAGACACGCTTCTTCCATGGCAATGGGTCTCCTCGCCAGTTTGTGCAGGTAGCAGGCTGCCTTATTCCCTGGCAAGGAAGATCATCCCATGAAAGGAAGATCATTATTATTTTTTAATGAAAATATTGTGAATCATTTATTTGATGATTCCTCCAGGGCTGGGAGAAGTGAGGACTAAGAGGGCTTTATGGGACATGCAGGGCCTTCTGGTCACTAGGGGAGGAGTTTTCTTTCAATAGCAATTATCTTTCTTGGCCATTCTAGAGAGGTCAGGGGACAGGCATTCCAGGTTCCACTGCTTGAGTTTTATGCCTGACATATACACATAAAGTCAGAGAAAAACAGTCCAATGTTTTGTGAAAGAAAGACACAGCACTTCAAAGTAAAACAATACACCCCTAGGGTGCTTGGGAACGGAAACAAGATTAGACGAGAGGGGCCATTCCTAACCAAGAGGCATCTTCACTTGTACAGGAAACATCTGGGGTCTCAAGGGAGACACTGGGCATCTCCTAAACCCTATTTTCCATCCTACTATTTCCTACTTCTGAGGTACACAAGGTGGAGTTATGTCTCAGACACCAATCAAGGTGACTTAGGGTACGGGTGCCTCCAGACCCTGGGACTCATTCTTTATTTCAAGCTCGCTGCCTCCCATTTCTCCATTTCTTCTTGATGGCAGTCACTTTCATACCTCTGCAGCACTCTGAAACAAATGAAGCCTTGGAAGCGATTAGACTTAGCTGTGCCCCTCTGGGCAGCATCCCTTAGACACATAAGAAGTAGGAGGAGGAGCCAGCGGAAGAGACTTTTTGAATTCTGAGGGTAGGAGGAAGATTGAGACCCTCCCTCCCATACCTCATTGATAGCAGGAGTGCAGGTAAACGCTTGGTAATTCTGTGACTCCTTTGGGAGAAGTACCTCCCATAACTGTCCTTTTATCTTTGTATGCTCTTAAGTCCCCTTTCTTTGAGCTGTGTATTCTCCAACAAGTAGCAAATATTTGAAAAGCAAGATCTTATTCCTCAGGCCAAGTTGAGAAGCACGTGTTTCTTAAGCTTATTCTCAAAATTTTAAAGGTATTTTTAAAAATTTTTAATTTTCATTAATTGTATTGAGAAAGAAATAGCAATGAGACAGTTTCAAAACAGGTTAGTAGGACAGTTACAATAATTAGTCCATTGAATATTGTTGTCTTCATAGTTAAAGATATTTTTTAGACATCTGATGAATTGTCAACTTCTGCTAATTCCCAGGACTTTCTCTTTTCATGATGTTTCTCAAACTGGGGAGATTCTTCTCAGACAGAATTCAGGGAGAGGGGCCAGACAGACAGCTTAGTGGACTAAAGCACCTGCTTAGGCAGATGCAGGGGCTGGGGGTCGATCCTGGGCCTGCCCTCAAGGTGTGCTGAGACCAGGCGTGGTGGTGTGTGCCTGTAATCCCAGTGCTTGGGAGGCTGAAAAACAGGATCACTACAAGTCTGATCCATGTAGTGAGACTGTATAGACCCCGTACTAAATACATTAAAAAAGAATTCAGGGAGAGGTACTTGTTCATATGAGAACCCTGAATGAGTGTCAACTACCCAAAGAATCCCTTGGGTGACTCCCTAAGGAGCTGTCATCCTGGCCTCCATGAGCCATAATCAGCAGTGGGGACAGTGGAAAAGCTACGAAGGGAAGACAGAAGGATCAGTCAAAGCCAGTTCTAAGAGGAAAAAGTCATGCTGTACCCCTCTGCAGTCCCAAGACAACCCAGTGTTTAGAATACCAAAAATCATCATTGATTTTCATAATGGTGACCATCAGTCAACTGGACAGTGTCGTCTTGACAGGGGTCTGGCCAGGATCATCTGCAGGAGAGCTGAAGAAGGGTGTTTCACACTCCTGAATGCTTTTCAACCAAACTCACACAAGTCAATTCAGTCTTGGCATGAAAAGAGGTCAATTAGCTAGATTAGGCATTGATGTATATGGTCAGAGAAATGTAAGCCTAGAGTTGTTGTGGTTCATTCAGTTAAAAGACCAGAAAACAAGAATACAGAGAAGAGAGAGTCCATGGCAACTAGGGATTGCAGAGGTCTGGGCAGGGGCAGGAAGGATTTGCCTGACTGGGGATTTCTATTTGCAACAGAAATGTATTTTTTTCCTATAATTTTATTGAGAGATTAAAAAGCAATGAGACAGTTTCAAATCAAATTGGTAGGACAATTTCAGTAATTAACACATTGCATACTCTCTTCCTAGTGGTATTTGCTATACAAGATGCAGACATGCTATCGTTTTTTTTTTAAATTTATTTTTCTTTTTATTTTTTTGCTATCCTATTTATAAACACTATTACAATAAATCCCTCTATTCATTAAGAGAATGCAACCATGTATCTATCCTAACTATTTTGAAAACACAGATATAAAATGGACATTCATCTGTATCCCTTTTTTTGTTTAGTTCCTTCATTTGAATATTATAGGTGTGTTAACTCAGTAAAATATTCTAAAAGAGTCCAGTAGCCCATAATAGTATTGGGTCTTCCGCTTGACTGACAATGTCAGAAATTGTTGACCTGAGTCCCGTACAGCTCAACATAACAGCATGGCTTTACTTCTTATACTTCGTTTTTATACTTTTCTGCTGGATGGTTAAGACCAAGATAAAGCAGGACCTATGCAACAAGAGTTGTAGCTTTCGGATCTGATAAGGTCAGTGAAATCCCCTCAGGATTTATCCTGAGATCCTGTACCTCAGATTGTAGATCTTTTGAGAAATGTATTTTTAAACACTCAACTTGAAGATGTGCAGCCACCCCTGTGTTAAAAATGGTACTGTGAGTACTGAGGGCTGGTGTACAGAACTGGAGTTTCCATTCCAAAGCGCATCTCCATTGTCTGGACCGATGGCTACACAGTGTTGCGGCTTCTGCCATGGGGTGCCCTTCTGCTGCCTGGAGAGTGGGATGTTGGGGATCAGCAAAGTCTTCAATGATGCCTGTGTGCAGCCACCCACTTAGGGTCGTCCATACATTCATCCTCTATCAGATTTACCCTTCTGTTTGTTTGGGTCTCGATGCAACACTGAGCTTTGGCTGTTCTTGAGGCTGCCACTTCAGCAAGTCAAAGCTCTGCAGAGCTGTAAGTGTTCTTAATTATTCTTTCCCTGTTTATTTAACCAATACATATGGAGCGCCAACTATGAGCCAGGCAAGGTCCTAGACCCGAAGAAACAACCCAGACTTTCTCCTCTTCCGATCACTTCTCCTGAGGACATGTGATGTTTGTGTAGAATATGCTTTTCGTTTATAACTGAAATGAAATCAAAGACCTGCAAAACACATGAAGCCCGAATAGATAATGCCACGGAGGAAGGAGGAAGCAGGGCCCAGCTGTGACAAGGGCCTCCCTAGCAAGCCCTCCCCAGAGCTGGCTGGGCATGGGACTTAGCAGGAAGCTGTTTGAAAGCCAGAGCTTAGGGCTGCAGTCAGGAGGCTCCATTTCCTGAAGGCTCCACAGGTAGCTCGGAGGAGGATGGTCCTGAGCGCACTCCTGGAGCTGTTCAGAAACCGCTAAGCTGGGCATTCTCATGCTGACTGTGTCCACCAAAGCTCCAGCGGACTGGAGGGCAGTTTCAGTTGAGTCATGTGGGGAACACCTGCAAAAGGATAATTTATTTATTTTTTATTTATTTATTTATTTTTTGGCAAGGCAAACCACTTTATTTCAGCAATGTAACAAGGGTTAGTCAAGGGGTGCTCAGGTTAGGCTTCAGGCTGCAGCCTCCTTGGCAGCCTTTCTCTCTGCCAGCATCCTCTGCTTCTGCTTTGCCAGGCATTTTCTGGCAGAATCATAGGCTCCTGGGTCATTATAGCGGTCTTGGTAGGCCTTAGTCACTTGGGCAAACTGTTCAAGCTCCTTTGCACAATTCTGCTTGTAGCTTTCTCCTTCCCTCTGCTGACAGGCCTTAAGCCTCTCTTGGATGATACTGACAATCTGTTGGTCAACCAGGTAGTCTCTTTTCCATTGCATTTCCGCTTCAAACATGCAGAGGACATCTTTCTCCTGGCACTCTGTAATATCTGGCACACGGCGGAACTGCCGGTGATAGTAGTAGTATCTGTTCTTGGCACGCTGCTGCTCTATACAATCTCTCACAAGGGTCACAGGCCGATCCACGAGGAGGTCGAAGGCCTTAGTCAAGTAGGTGATGGGATTAGGGAGCGACGTCTGCGGCGAGGGCGCTGGGGTGCGGCGCGGGGGTTCAGGGTACACGTCCTTGTCGTAAGGGTCCGGCATGGCAGCGGGGGGTCCCACTCACTACCAGTCTGCACCAGCTCTTCTTCGGTCTCAGACTGCCCTTACCGAGGACGCCGGGCCACTCAGGATAATTTAAAAATGTGTGGGCAGAAATCAGAGACTGGGAAACTCCAAAGAGTGGTGCAGAGAGCTGAGGTGTGGAACACTGTAAACCCCTAAACCTGAGGAAGCCAGAGGGGTGGGGTTCCTGGCTCCCAGTGACCGCAGGGCTCTGGACAGGACCCATGATCCTCAGCTGAGAACGCTGCCAGCTGGTGTGAGCCCCGCCACCTGGAACCCAGAGGGCTGGGTAGCCTGTGACTGGAGACCACACTGCCCAGCCTTCCGGGGCCAGAGGAAAAGGGGAAAGACGCAGGCCTAACTGGAAGAGACAGAAAGACATCAACAAGGGCCCTGGACCTCTGCAGGACCCCATGCAAATGCAGGATCCCCAGAGCTGGCCTAGACAGAGTGTACCCAGGATTTCATGTAAGACGAGTATCCTGAGCCGACTAACTCAGCCTCCACGCCGCACTTGGGGACAACAGAACAGCACATGTTTTACTTTTGTGTTGTGATAGTCATTCGTATTTATCAAGTACTCATGTTGTGATCTTTGAAATTTTTCTTGGACTTAGCAATTCATTCACTATTATTGTATAGTAATAATACATAGTAGTGATGTTTGCTTTGGGGAATTGGCATTCGTATATATTTTGAGTGTTTTTACTCCCTTTACCCCCCTCTCTTCTACCTCTCCCTGCCCCTAGCTCCCTTCCTGAACTCCAAAAAGTTTGCCTTCTTTTTTCCTACCATTTTATTTATTTATTTTCTTGCTATTGGATTTCCAGTGGCACAACTGTTTAGCGTGTGGCACTTATATGACTTTAGACTTCTGACATTTCCCAAAACATTATGGTTTTCCTTGACACTGTGGTTTCAAGCTCCACCCACTTTCCTGCAAATGACTTGATTTCATTCTTTTTTATGGCTGATGAATATTATATTGTAGGTACACGTACTGTAATTTCTTCACCCGCTGGTCTGTGGATGAGCGCTGAGGCTGTTTTCAGAGCTCAGTGATGATGAAGAGAGCTGCTATAAACACAGGCGTGCATGTGTCACTATAGTATCGTGTCCTTAATTCTTTGGAAACTACGCCCATCCTTGGAGCATAGCTGGCCAAAGGCGATTTCTACCTTTAGTTTGTTGAGGGATCTCCATGCAGTTTTCTACTGTGGTTGCACTAGGGTACATCCCCACCAACAGTGTAGAAGAATTCATTTTCCCCTGCAGCCTCCCCACTGTCTGCTCCTTGTGAATTCTTTTTGACAGCCGTCCTGACCATGGTGAGATGGAACGCTAGTATCTGATTTGCATTTCTCTGGTGACTAATCGTGATGAACATTTTTTACCTATTTACTAGCCATTTATACTGGTTCTTTTGAGAAGTCTCTATGTAGTTCATTTGCCAATGTTTTGATTGAGTCATTTGTGTTTGGAACAGTCAAGTTTTAAATTTCTGGATATATTCTAGATATTAGTTCCCTGTTAGAAAGCTAGCTGACAATTTTTTTCCCATCCTGCAAGTTGCTTTTTACTCTGTTAATTGTTTCTTTTATTGTGCAGAAGGTTTTAAAATTTATATAGTCTCAATTACTGATTTTTTTTTTTTTTGTATTTTAGAGAAGGGTCTACACAGTGTTCAGGGTCTCTACTAGATCAGACTCATAGTGATCCACCTATTTACAGTCTCCCAAGTGCTGGGATTATAGGAGCACACCACCACATCAAGTCTCAATCACTGTCTCAGTGCGCCCCAAGGGGCAAGGCTGGCATGGCAGGCCCAGAGATTGAACTCTTGGCCCCTGTGCCTGTTTGTAGGTGCTTTAATCTGCTGAGCTATTTGGCTGGCCCTTCAATTACTGATTGTTATTATTTTTTGTGCATTGAAGTTCTGTTCAGGAAGTCCTGCCTGTGCCTATGGCTTCAAGAATTTCCCTTGTGTTATCTTCCAACATTTGGAAATTTATGTTTTAAATTTAGGTCTTTTGGGGCTGGAAAGACACTCAGCAGCTTAAGCACCTGCCTGTCAAGTGCAAGGTTCTGAGTTCAATCCCCGGTATCAATTCATTAATTAATCAATCAACCAATGAATGAATTTTAGGTCTTTGACCCATTTTTATTTGATTTTAGTCCAGGGTGAGGGACATGGACGTAGTTTCAACCTTCTGCATATAAATAACCAATTTTCCAAGCACAGTGTGTTAAAGAGGGTTTTTCTTCAATGATGATTTTGGTCCCTTTGTGAAAAATCAGGTGGCTTGAAGTTCATGAGTTTGCTTCTGTGTCTTCTGTTCTATTGTTTGCCTTGGAGAATTAGTCATGTAGTATTATTGTGCCAGTGCCACGCTGTTTGTTACTATGGCTTTGTAATAGAATTTGAAATATTGTATTGTGATTAGTTTATCTGCCTGGGATTGCTTTTGTTATTCTGGATTTCTTCTTCATATAAGTTTTAGGATTTTTTTCTAGTTCTGTGAGGAATATTGGTATTTAACGAGGTTCTATTAAATTTCTAGATCACTTTTTGCAATAAGGTCATTTTAACAATATTAATTTTGCCTACCCAAGAACAAGGCATGTCTTTCTGTTTTTTAATGTCCTCTTCGATTTTTTTTCTCCAGAGTTCTGTAGTTTGCCTTATATGGTCTTTCACCTCCTTGATTAGATTGATTCCTAGACATTTAATTTCTTAAGCTATTATTAATGCAATTTATTTCCTCAATCCTTTCTTGTTGGATTCCTTATTGGTGTCCAGGAATGCTATCGAGTGTGGTGTGTTGGTTTTATATCTTGGATAGCCTTATTGTTGTAGGACAGCACCTCAGAATGGGTATTACTTTACAGGAAATTAATGCAGAGAGATTATGAAAATTCTCTTGAGTCACACAGTAACAGAAGACAATGGCAGTGAAGTCATTCTCTGAAGCCAAATCTGTCCTATATAAATGCCCATGTCATTAACCTGTGTGCTGTTTTGGTAAGGCTCCCTGGAAAATGTAAACCCCAACCATGCTCGTTAATTTAGAAGCTGCGTTCTGGGCAATTTTTCCATGAATACAAGCTATTATTCTTTGTTTCTTTATGTAAGTTGGGTGATCATGGCATGGCCATGGCCCTCTGTCGCAGGTACGGCATGTGTTTCCATTTAGCTTCAGGAAACAATGTGGGCCTTGTCAATGGACTATGATTTCTGGCACTTCTGCTCCAGGGTGTATGAAAAAGGTCTGATCCATTTTTTTCTGTGCCCTTCTGTCACAGAACAGGCTAAAAAGACCAACTATTACTGTGTGAATTGAGAGAATTTTCATAATCTCTGTGCATCAGTTTCCCATAAAATAATACCCACTTTGAGGGGCTGGCCAATAAAGTTATCCAAGGAGTGAAGGCTTTCCTAGGGCATGGGAATTTCAGCTCTGGACCTCAGGCAGTTTCAGGCAAATGGGGGTGATTGGTAAATGCCAAATTGTAAAAGTACTCCCAGAAGTTATAGAACCACATTTTTAGAAACCTAAAAATTGTAAGTTTCTGATTGTTGAGGCCACAGTTAGATCTCTCCCCTCTGGTATCCTGGAGCTTGCTTTCTGCCCTTCCTCATGACAAGCTGAGGCATGGAACATGCAGGATGAGACAGGGACAGGGGACTGGAAGAAGGTGCAATCCAGGTGCGTCATCCCAGTCTGCACACAGTGTGAGCGAGGCAGGATGTGAGCTGCCTGCACCACAGCCAGAACTCTGTGCCTTTCAACTTCAGTCCTTGGCATGCGGCGCTTGGCTTTAGAGGCTTCTTTCATATGTCGTTACTGCTTGGGGATCATGTCTCCCTGGCTAGAAAAAGAGAAAATTGAGGACAAAGATCGGGCAGTCTAGAACTCAGAACAGGCTCTGCTCCACAACACAGGGTCATCTTGGGGTACAGGGGTGTGCATGGACTCAAGATTGCATCTGATCTTCCTCCGTTCAGCACAAAATGGGGCTGTGGGGTCATCCTTGAAGGTATGAGAGGTGGGAGGGGGAGGGACCTCACGCTGCTAGAGAGTCTCCCACCTACTAAGCTTCTAGTCTCATCCTCCAAAAGAAGGTCTTCCCTGGGGACTTTCCTAAGTGCAGGCCATCAGGATACAAGAGTGAAGAAGGGCCTGGGGCCTTTCGTGAGCTTGCTGCCTGACTATGACATGGCCTTAATTCTTCGTTCTTGTTAGGGGGAAGCAGACAAATAGAAAAAAGATTATTATTATTATTATTATTATTATTATTAGAAAGACAAAATTGAGTTCAAGTCAGTGACGAGGCCTCTATAGGAAAATTTCTAAGGATTTATGCCAACCCGTAAAGTATTAATAAAGTAGACATGACGGTGAAGTAGCTTCCTGCACGCAGAACGTTCTCCCAGGCACGCAAGTACAGCGTTAGCTTTTGTTGCCTTTGGAGACAGGGTTTCTCCATGCAGTCCAGGATGGCCTTAAACCGACCTTCCTCTTGCCTCAGCCTTCCGAGCCCTGGGATGACACGGATGAGCTAGGCTTACCCAGCTAGTTACTTTTTGAGACCGGGTCTCATATTTAGCGGTCTCTGAACTCGGGGTCCTCCTGTCTGGGCCTGAGCCACCAAGCCAGGAACAGTGCTAGTTTTGCGGAGGTCCAAACGAATTGATTCTGCGCTGAAATACTATGAGACTAATAATTATTTCCACCTACAGGCAAGGCTGAAATGCATTTGTATACCGTGCCCAGGGTCATGCAGCGAGGAAGAGGCGGGGTTGGGATTTGAAATAAGGTCCTTTAAATGTAAAAGCTTATGTCCCTGTGTGCTGTTGCATTGTCCTGAGCCACGTGGCCTGAAAATCGTGAGCCTTCCTCCTAGCATTCTGGTATTACTCACATACTGCACAGAGCCGGGAAATAAATACTGGGCCAGTTTTCAGGGCCTATCTACTGTCCCTGCGGAGGAGGAGAAGGTGACGGGAAAAGCAGCAGGCGCCGTGCTTTGGGGTTCCTTCTATAATTCCGGGGAAGA